CCGAAAAGTGGAGTTTCTGATCCGCTGGAAAGATCGTACCCCTACCGAGGACAATTGGGTTCCCCTGGAGAAAGTTGAAAATCACCCCGTCGTCACCGACTACCTGCGTAGCCGCAATTTCTGAGACATCCACGCGCTTTCATAAGGAGGACCTCCTTAGGAGGGGGGGTAGTGTAAGGAAATTCCCTTTTCCTTACTTCGCGTCCCTGCTCAACGCGTACATCACTGTAGCACCTCAGTCAGCACCGTTACCACTCGCGACCATCGCATCATTCATCATCCCGCCCTTTTCGCACATCGCATCCCGACCTCACGGCTCGGCTGGTAACCCGCGCTCCGGACCTACGCTTCGACACTTTCCCAACCTCAGTCCCAGGCTCGTCGCGCGACCATTACCGTTACCACGGTAGTTTCGCTATATAATGTTCGCTCACGCCTTCGCTCATTGTATTCTTGCTTCGATAGTGCAATTCTCGTTCGTTCACTCAATTGCACTCGTAACACATATTCAATAAGGTACCTTAACCCCACCTTAATGGCATATCAATAAGCCCGGTAGCGTGTTCCCATCCCAAATTATACTCATAACCTGGTTGAAAAATGTTAGGACATAAGATGGACCTTGGACATAATGCGTATTTATTGTAACAACGGAAGATTTTTTCATTAATGCGAATTCCCAATTCTGCAGCTTGTACAGCTGTTGTGAGAAGCATTGTTTTGTTTCCTGATGCACATTACCTTTCTTTAACCAGCAACAAATGATGAAGCTCACCTTGTATTAATATACTAACGAATAGGGTGCACACCGACAAAAATTGAAGTCTGCTCTGAAGATTCACCTGTATATCATCAGTCGGGCGCAGGTGTTTTCAGTTTCCAATTCCCAGCACATCGCACAAGCGACAACCACGTCATCGATTATCACCCATCTGCGACCTGCTGGATGTGCTGCTGCCCAACGAGACTTCAAGCGAATGTCGTAGAAGGTCGCAGGAAGAATCCAAGTTTCGTCGTTAGTGTAACCTCCCTCGCATGTTATACATAATCCAGTCGCAAAGCCAGCCTACAAACAATGGTCTACGACGTGTCGCATGGTGGAAAAACCGCCTGGCTAATAAACATATCCACCACCCCCCTCAACACAACTGCTGCTCTCCACATAGCTGACAGTCCTGGCCTAGCCTAACCAACACTAGGAGGACAACTCTTTTCCTGAAGCATGGCGGCATAGGTACTAGGGAGCTGAAGCGGATGGCCTCTTGTGCCCAGACACTTGGAGCTGACAATCACATTCTTCGCCATCGTTTTAGATCACGTATATTGCAGGCCTTTTTTGCTCTCTCAGAGGTACAACCCCAGATAGGACCACTTGCACGATTGGATAGATGCACCATGAGAACCCTCAGTGCCGTTTTCTCGTGCGTTCTCCTCGCGCTTCTCCTCTCTGCACACTGTGTCGAAGCCTCTCACAGTCGCAAGCTCCTAGCCTCCAGCGAGAACCCAGACTACACAGACCTGTTTGACTACCTTGACTCGCAGAAAGGGCAGAACGGCGCCTCGACAAACGCCGGCGAGCCAACCGACCTCCCGAATGCCGCGGCGCAGCAGGCGCTGCTCGCGATAAAGGCGGCTTGGGGAGGCGACTTCTTCGGCGCGGATACATGGGTCAGCCGCAGCGACGCCCCTGCTCCATCGCCCGAGGCTAGTCCTCCATCTGAGGCTAGTCCATCCAAGGCTAGTCCATCCGAGGCTAGTCCATCCGAGGCTAGTCCATCCGAGGCTAGTCCATCCGAGGCTAGTCCATCCGAGGCTAGGCCATCCGAGGCTAGTCCATCAGGACCTGGTTTATCGCAGGCAGCGGCCAAGAAAGAAAAGAGCATGGGTGTAGGCGAGCTCGGCATGGGATTTGGCAACATGGGCATGGGTAGCGGAGGGCTGGGACCTGGCGACCTGTGGCGGGGAGTTGGTATTGACATTAACGGGGATGTGGTGTCGCTGGAGCTGCCAGAAAGCAGTGTGAGCGGGCCGCTTCCGTTGGAGCTGTCGCAGCTGACGTTGCTCACCGCTCTTGATCTCGGCGGAAATAACTTAAGCGGTTCGGTACCAGCTGGAGTGTTCGCTAGCCTCCCACTACTTACCGAGATTCTTCTCAACGGAAACAGCTTGGAGGGGAACTTTCCCTGGAACAATATTTTAACGCAGGCCAATTCCCCGTTGATGCTTTTGCGGTTGGACGACAACAGTTTTGTGGGGGAAATTCCCGACAACACTTTCGAAAACGCCACGCAGCTACACTCCCTAACGCTTTGTGGGAACAAGTTCACCGGTCCGATCCCGTCAAGCCTGGGCAGCGCTTCAGAAATCTCGGTCATTGATCTCTCCAGAAACTGGTTCACGGGATCCGTTCCTCCGACTCTGGCAGATAAACTCGCGCTCGAGGTTCTCACGCTTAGCCACAACCGGCTGTCGGGGGAGATTCCGGAATTTATTGGCAAGCTGCCCGCTGTCGTAAACCTCGACTTGAGCCACAACTGGTTCATCGGTCACTTGCCAGCGTCGTTCTCTTCGTTCGGGCAGTCGCTGCGGGGTTTGCAGCTGTCGTATAACGCGTTGACGGGGCCTTTGCCGCGGTTCACCGGGCTCGGAAAGGAGTGCGAAAACCCCGATGTGGACAGCGTTTCGTGTTACCGCTTCGAGGTTTTTATCGATCTGAGCGCGAACTATTTCGAAGGGAGAGCGGATATGGTCATGCAAATGCCCGGTTCGGAAAATTTTCCGAAACCCACTTGGGTCTGCCCGTCCAAGGACTATACGGAGCAGATTACAGTTTCGGGTAACTGCTTGGTTTCTTCGCCAGGGTGCAAAGCGGTGGAGCAGCGAAAGGATGAAACATGTGCGAAATTCTGCGGGACAGGGAGCAAAGAGGGGCAGTGCGGAGGCGCAGGTGTTTGCATCTACGACCCAGCCACCGTCGGACCGCATGCAGTGATCACGTGTTCGTGTAATCCTGGTTACCAGGTGGATCCAAAAGATCCACAGAATTGTATCAAAGCCTAGTCAGCCTGGTGACTCTCCCACACCACTCAGGAGACCTCCACATCTCCCCACCTTCCTCCCTTGTCTCTTTATCTGCTACTGCTGATTGAGTAGTTGGTACCCGCCCAACTGAGAGAAATGCGTGTACATGTAAGGACCAGTTGCATTTGACTCTCTGGGGCTGTCCAGCTGTTGATTCTTTACCCTGAACACTGCTGGTGGGGAGCTGTGTGCATTGCTGCTTGCATCAGGCCTTAGCGGTACCTCCTCTGCAGATGAGGCTGTCAATGAAGTTTATGATGTAGCCTTTTCTGGCTCGGTACGGTACACTGATGTTTGTGCTATGAGTGCATGCATCCTACTCCAGACTTCACACACTACCAGTATGCTTGAGGCTTGGAGTACGGTAAGCCGTAAACACCTCTCTGACACTTGCATCCAGTCCAGTCGTTCATGGTTTTCACTGGTTGACACCTCATGCATGTGGCCTTTTTACCTGTCAGAATCATCCTCTGGTCAGCATAAGATAGCAGCAGCATTATTTGATAGGAGTACCGGTAGCACCGAGGATGATTTGAGACAGCTTCACGCTACCGTCATCGCCCGGATAGAAGACATATATGTCTTATCTTATACATTAGAAAAAAAGCTTGCTGTGTCTTGTAATTGGGACGGTTTAGGGTGTCTTATAATTCTTATAAATGGACAAAAAACCGTTTAGAAGATACCCCCTAGTCATAAGATTGCCCCTAATCCCTATACTGGCTTAACTTGTACACACCGACAGTTGTCTTATAATCAGGAACACCCATCTATAAGAAACACCCGTTTTAACGACACCCCATGTCTTCAATTCGACACTGTCTTATATCCGGGTGATGACGGTACTTGCTTACCATTCTTTGTTTTCCAAAAGGCACCAACCAAGAGATCCTTCAGAAATCCTCTCATCCAATCAGCATACAACTGCCCTGCACCCCCCTTCTCAGGAGGGATGAGCGAGAGGAACATGGGCGTGTCTGCCTTCCCTGCACGCACCCTGCTTAGGCATCAAACAAACCCCCTTGCATGGCATTACGCACGGTACAAGGGCTCTCGCTAGGATTTTGGCCTGTCTGAAAACCTAAACCCAAAAATCCGTTTCGTCTGACGTTCGGACGGGAAATTTTCGCGTGTCTGTCATTTCAGACGAAATTCCATTGCATGTCTGAAATCTCAGACGAAATTTTTTTCCGCGTCTGATGTTGCAACTTGCATCTTGATGACGCAGCAGCGGTGCATTAGACTGCACGTTAGTGGACAGGACTGTGAGGCGTGGGGCTCGAGAGGGGAGTGGGGCTGGACTAGGGTGGTAAGAGCGGCCAAAGTTGGGCAAGGGTTGGGCTGGGAAGGTATGTGAGAGTTGGGGGGGGGGGGGGGGGGGACTCTGCTGGAAGATTTGCGACAGTGCGAGGGAGTTGCTGGAGTGCTGGGCTGGAGTTGGTAGGGTGGCTAGGCTGGTAGAGGCAAGGGGGACTTACGGTAGCGCTTGGCTGGCGGACGTGGGGGGCGGTAGTGGGGGGGGGTGGTGGCTTGGCTGGGCTGGTAGAGGCGAAAGGGACTTGGTTGAGCTGGTACGAGGCGGGCTTTGTGCTGGTACAGTACACTACAAAATTCCGCCAGTGAGGCGACGCAAATTACTACACGTGCAATTACAGCCACCAAAGGTGCCTGCCAGAACTGACAACCTATGGCTACGTGGGCAGAATTGTCGGTATCAGATGAAACGAAACTCGCTATCTGAAATTTCGGACGAAGTATAACGGCTGCTCTGATGATTCAGATGAACTAAAATCCTTTCTCTTATGGATCAGACGAAATAAAAAGCACTGTCTTATGGTTCAGATGAAAGGAAAAATGAAGGTCTGAAAATCAGACCATCAGACCAAATTGGTCTGATAACGAGAGCCCTACAACACCTGCTAAAACTCCTCGATCGTCCTGTCTGCATAGAACTGCCCTGTACCCGCCTTCTCGGGCGGCAACAGCGACAGGAAGATGGGCGTGTCGGCTCCCTCCTCAGCTGTCTTGCGGCCGCGCCACGACGACATGTCTGTGGCACACCACCCGGGACAGCACGCATTCACAAACACCCTGGAGCACAGGGAGAGGCACAGGGAGTGGGCACGGCATGGGGGGAGTAGCATATGAACCTATACGAGGCAAAACTCGACATCAACCTACACACATCTATGCGCTGCCTTCCCAACCTCCCCATCCAAACGAACTCACTTTTCGCCTCCCTGCCGCCCCTCCACCTGTCTCGCGAGCACGCGCGTGTAGGCGTTCTCTAGGAGCTTCGACACGCCATACATCGACTCGGGCCACCCTGCTCCCTTATAAGTGCCCTCCTTTATCCCCGTTACAAACTCCTCCGCCAGTGCATCCAGGTCAGCAGTTGTGAGGGTCGGGCTGGTGAATCGTGTCTGAGGTGAGACAATGGAAGGGGCATGAGAAGAAGACAAAAATGGTGGGTGCTAGAGAGCCTCGAGAATGGACAAAGGGGAATGAGATGGAAACGAGTTAACAGGACAAGAGTCAGTGAGAGTCAGTGAGGTGAGAGTGATGAATATCCAAAGTTCATGGAGGAAAAGGGGCAGGTTACCTTGAGGGCGGGGGAGACAATGCGGAGCTTCCCTGCACTGGAGCCCACATTCACAATGCGCGCCCCCGCTGGTGATCGAGAGCGCAAGAGGGCGAGAGGGAGAGAACGGGAGAGAGGGGGTAAGGGCTAATAGCAAGGGAATTTTAGTTGATAAGTGAAAGGAAGGGAAAAGAGGCAGCAGACAGAAGAGGGAGGCAAAAGCGGCTGCTACTGACTCACATGTGGATGGTCACATCTGGCATGGCAGAATTACCTTTTGGAGGGGCGCAGCAGAGGCAGCAGCGCCTCACACACGGCCCGAGTGCCTTGGTAGTTGGTGGCTTTGGTCCTGCTGGCGTGGAATATCGTAGTCTGCATGAACACACCCACCAACTCACGTTTGCAGGGGCGCAGCAGTGATGTTTCTGCAGCTGCTGCCAACTCACCTTTGGAGGGGCGCAGCAGTGGCAGTAGCGCCTCACACACGGCCCGAGTGCCTTGGTAGTTGGTGTCAATGGTCTTTCTTGCCTCCTCTGCCCCGAACGTGTTCCCCTTATAAGCCATCCCGGCATTGTTTACAAGCACGTCCAGGCCCCCATGCGTATCCTTGAGCCATCTGCGGTAGCAGAGGTGGATAAGCGATAGTGACATTTCAACATTTGAGCCCAGTTGCGGGCGCAAACAGGTGGTAATTGCATCTGGAAAAATTGACCATCTTAGCAAAGGTGTGAAGTGATAAACGCAATGATGCATGATGCACAGACACAACAACATGGCGATCAGTTGCTTGCAAGACGAGAAATTGAGTGATCATTGCACCGTGCAAAGCTGTCGATCGACGATTGGTCGCTGATATCCAGCTGATGAAACTCCACCCCCTGCAGCCCCTCCCCTTGAAGCTTCTTCGCAGCTTCCTGCCCCAGTCCCGGGTCGCGGGCGGTGAGCACTGTAGTCAGCCCTTCGCCAGCCAATCCCCGTGCAATGTAAAACCCGATACCCTTATTCGCCCCAGTTACCACCGCCACCGCCGATCGCCCTTCGCCCGCCCACGCGTTCTCCATGCCCGCACCCACCGCTGCTGCTGCGCCGCCGGCGGGAAAAAATCGCCCGAGAGCGCGTAGCAAGGGCCCGGGGGTTCGGGATTCGGCGCGGGTCTGCGCGGAATAGCAGGTCCGCGCAGGCGACGGGGAAGGGAAACGAAATATGAGCGGAAAGTCAGAAACGGGAATCGAGAGGGATGAGTCAAGGTGGGATAAAAGAGAGGCGGCAGAAAATAGAGTTCCGATGAGGATGTGGAAGGTGAATTCACGCATGATTGTTGACGAAACGGATTGCGGTTATATCGACAAATCTCTTGCCCATTGGGTATAAAAAAAAACATGAGTGGTGACGGCCTATCTCGTAGTCCATGTAGGAAATAAGTATCTCCAAGAACTAAATCCTACGACGTTCTACCCATAACCACCTGCAGCGGTTGGTGACGGGGTGATTGGCTCTCCGCGATGTGCGGATTCGAGTGCAATCGCCGCAGAGAGGAGCCAACAAAGCGCGGTGTTGCTGCTGGAACGCCTAGCGACAACGGCAAGCGGATTAATTCCCTGGTTTGTATCGAAGGGACAAGCAACGATGCGCTAGAAGCAGCAACAGGAACTACTGCGGCAAACATGAGCGATCAGATTCAGCGCTTTAGATAGCAACTTATGGTTCGTCTTGGGATAATGGTTGGGAAGAAGGCAGCAAAATTGGCGGCGGGGTAGGAAGTGTTTTGGGTAGCATGAAGGCAACAGGCAGATGTTGCGAATTTTTCTCGCTCAATGCTCTCGTGTCTGGTAACAAGCGTTTCGTTTTCTAATGGAGAAGCACGTGTCGCAATGTGAGTAGTCCGTCGATGCTTGTGGGTGTCTGGAAGCATTGCCCCTAACTGGTTTCAAGCACCACGAGTTGCTGTTTTTATTTCCATCGGCCATCTCACGGCAAACACCACTAGCATCATACACGTATATATATTAACCATGGCCTACACGGCCTTTCTATTTCCTGAAGGAATTCAATTACTCCTATATTTACCTCTGTCGTGGAGGGAACAGCACGCTATCAATGCCATGGATGGCAAGTGTGGGGCCTAGGTACACGTCAGCAGCAACTAAGGCTGCACGCGGCCCTGCTGCCACAGCGCCTTCTGGTTGGACAAACACCACATAATCAGCCGTTCCGTCCGCCTTCATTACAGTCACCTTTGTTAAAGGTGAACCTTCTAGTGTAGGAAGCGGCTGGTCATCTGGGTGGGCCAAAATTTCACTATATGTCATGCGAGTCGCGAGTACCGTGAACTCAGAAATCCGGACGCTGTCGTGCGCGTTAAAGGCATCATCGTTAACGCGCACAAGGGCATCCGTGCTGGGAGCAAGAATGGTGAGATTCTGACGGAAGAGATTGTTGGGGCCTGTGGACACTGGACACACGGAATCAAGGAAAAGGACGGAGGGGAAAAGGTTAGGATAGAGCAAGTCTGAATGACAGTTGGATAAGCCTCAACAGCAGGAAACTTAACACGACGTGTGTAAACGCACATGCGGGGGCTAGCGTTTCGAGGGCGTATTTAGAGAAGCCATGGATTTGCAGCAGCGCGGCGATCGCATCCTTCAGCTCTTCCCGATATGACGCTTGCGATGCTGTTTCGAGAATTGGTCGGCTGCCGGATGAGAGGGTGATAAGTTTAGTTGCAATAACTAGGAACGCGGCCAAACAGCCTAACCATTGTCGTGTTCCCCAACGCGAGAAGCACCTCATGATGCATGTGCTGAACAAAACGGCTATGGGAACATAAATTAAAACGTCATGTTCCCATAGCCTGCTTGACTGGCAAATAGAGCTTTGCTGCGCGCACTAGGAGAAAATTCCACACTGGAGTGGCTGGATGCGAGAAACACAGTTCCGTAACTTGAGGTTGCTTTGCTGATGCGGTTCAGCTGGAGCTGGAAGGGTGTGGGGAAGGGGTAGGAAGGGTTGGGTGGGGTAGGAAGGTCTGGGTGGGGTAAGGAGGGGGGTAGGAGGGGGGTAGGAGGGATTGGTTGTTGGACAGACAGCTGCTGCATCAGCCTGCAGCCCAGTCACACTCGCCCATCCAATCCAACTCGAGCTCCCAAGTCGCGGGGCCAAGCTGTTAGCGACTTCCAACCAAGCAAACAATACGTGACAAAAACGTCAAGGACCGTCACAGTGGAACGCACTACCACACATTCACGAGGCGCTGTCATTACAGTGGCAAGAGGCTGGATTTTTTTGGGGTGAAGTTACGGCCATTATCTCCGATACTCAGATTTTTCCTGAGCGTGTTCTCAGGTGTAATCAACCTGGACTTTCTCAACGTTGATTGGTCGTTGCTTTTTAGTCACATTTCTCACGCTGGTCGAACTCATTAGGAAGTGACAAAAACAAAACCATCCGACTTGGATATATGTACAGAAATTAAGGTAGTAAGAAAATGAAGCCCATATAAATCACTTGGTAGTGCTCAGTAGCGCAACCGATCGCTAAACAACGATACCGAAAGCACTAGACGACGCTACCGAGACCTATTCGGGCATGACAGAAAAAAATAAAACCCTTAAGGAACCTGGATGCATTTTCGAGAGGGGTCAACCCTAAACACGGGAATGGGCATTGTTTTTAGGGTTGATGCCTCCCGAGTCGCATCCCTTTCCGAGGTGGGTATTATTTTTTTTGTCAAGTGGGTTGCAATATGTTTTCCAAAATATTGGTAGGCTTTCGGTATTTAGGGTTGATCCTTCCCGGAAATCATATAGGCTCGCTACAGGCATTATATATATATTTTTGCAAGTGCTAGAATTCCCTTTCTGAGTGACTTTATACAAAGAACAGCCAGAATAGCTTTACACTATATCAAAAAAACTGTGTTTCTGTTGGTGATTACACCTGAGAACGCGCTCAAGCATAATCTGAGTATTGGGGATAATGGCAGGTGAAGTTACCGTATATTTATTAGGTTACTTCATATTAGGAGCACCGGTACGTCCCTTCAAAATATAATGCCAAATCAACTGGCTACCGTTTACAGTGCTTCTGCTGACATTCAACCTTAAAGCAGCAGTATACATTTGAAAGTGTCAGGCATATATGCTATAGTCTGTCTAGGCTGTAATGGGGCAGTTCATATGGGGTTCAACACTTTAGGGTTTACCACTTGTACTGCTCATTCTGCTCAATGTATTCATTCCTCGTTTCTTATCATGGTATCGAGCAGGTTCCCTAGTGGGAACGCTACCTAGGGCCCACAACGATTTTTTTTCCTGCCCGGAGCGCGCTTCACTCCTGCCCGAGTCGCGCTCTGTGTGCCCTCCCTACCTTCGCGCCGCCCTTAGTGGCCCCTCTCACGGCCCCTTACGCCGCCCTTACGACCCCTAGCGCCGCCCTCTACGGCCCCTCGCGCCGCCCTTACGGCCCCTTACGGCCCCTCGCGCTGCCCTTACGGCCCCTTACGGCCCCTCGTGCCGCCCTTACGGCCCTCGCGCGGCCCCCTTTCGGCCCCTCGCGGCGCCCTTTCCAGCCCCTTACGGCCCCGTCGCCGCCCCGTTTCGGCCCCTTGCGGCCCCTCTGCGGCCCCGTCTAGGCCCCTTGCGGCCCCTCTGAGACCCCGTCGCCGCCACCTACGGCCCCGTCGCCGCCACCTGCGGCCCCGTCGCCGTCACCTGCGGCCCCGTCGCCGTCACCTGCGGCCCCGTCGCCGCCACCTGCGGCCCCGTCGCCGCCACCTGCGGCCCCGTCGCCGTCACCTACGGCCCCGTCGCCGCCACCTGCGGCCCCGTCGCCGCCACCTGCGGCCCCGTCGCCGCCCCCTGCGGCCCCGTCGCCGCCACCTACGGCCACGCAGCCGCCACCTGCGGCCCCGCCGCCACCTGCGGCCCCGTCTCCGCCACCTTTGGCCCCGTCGCCGTCACCTGCGGCCCCGTCGCCCTCCCCTAGCGGCCCTGTCGCCGCTCGGCCGCCCAGCGATCGAGCCGCCGAGCAACCCAGCAGCTGAGCCGCCCACCTGCCGAGCAGCCGAGCCGCCCAGCAGCCGAGCCGCCCAGCAGCTGAGCCGCCCAGCAGCCGAGCCGCCGAGCCGCCGAGCCGCCCAGCAGCCGAGCCGCCCAGCCGCCGAGCCGCCCAGCAGCCGAGCCGCCCAGCAGCGGAGCCGCCCTGCCGCCGAGCTGCCGAGTCGCCGAGCCGCCCTACTGTCGAGCCGCTGCTGTTCCTACTGGTGCGCCCCGGCCCTCCTTCCTCGGACTGGTGAGCTCACTGTCAGAACATATAGCTTACCTATTTCTGTAGGCTATAGTGGGGTATCCCATAGGGGGTACAACCCAATTAGGGTTTCCTATTTGTACTCACTTCGTTCATAGTCATTCCATTCTCGTTCTTTATTTCACATGGAATCAGAGCAGGTTCCCTCCTAGGGACTGCTTCTAGGGCCCACCGAAGCGCGCCCCGAGGCGCGTTTTCCTTTTTTTTGGCGACCCGTTGTGTCGCCCCCAGCGGCTCGTCGCGCCGCCCTTCCCTTAGCGGCCCCGCCGCCCTTCTATCGCGGCTCCGCCGCGCTTCCTTAGCGGCCCCGCCGCCCTTCGATCGCGGCCCCGCCGCCCTTCCTAAGCGGCCCCGCCGCCCTCTGCTTAGCGGCCCCGCCGCCCTTCGATCGCGGCCCCGCCGCCCTCTGCTAAGCGGCCCCGCCGCCCTTCGATCGCGGCCCCGCCGCCCTCTGCTAAGCGGCCCCGCCGCCCTTCGATCGCGGCCCCGCCGCCCTCTGCTAAGCGGCCCCGCCGCCCTTCGATCGCGGCCCCCCCCGCCCTCTGCTAAGCGGCCCCGCCGCCCTCTGCTAAGCGGCCCCGCCGCCTTGCTCACGCGGCCCTGCCGCCCTCTGCTACGCGGCCTCGCCGCCGCGTCGTCAGTGCAGCCGCCCGTGCCCAGCCGCCCGTGCAGCCGCCCGCGAGCCGTCCCAGCCGCCCGTGCGGCCGCCCGTGAGTCGCCCGCGCGACGCCCGCGCCGCCCGAGCCGCCCGCGAGACGCCCGCGCCGCCCGAGCCGCCCGAGCCGCCCGCGAGACGCCCGCGCCGCCCGAGCCGCCCGAGCCGCCCGCGAGACGCCCGCGCCGCCCGAGCCGCCCGAGCCGCCCGAGCCGCCCGTGCCGCCCCAGCCGCCCGAGGAGCCGATCTTCTGCTCCTGTGGAGCTCCTACTGCTCCTGGGCCGGCGCAGCTGCTGTGCTGCCGTGTTGCTGTGTCGCTGTGCTACCCGACTCTTCCTGCCCGGTGAGACTGTCAGCTGCTACAATGGCCACCCCCAGTGTCCTGACTTTTGACGCTGAGGGTCGCGCCATTGACTTTGCAGTCTGGATTGAGGACCTGCAGCTGTACTTACTGTGCGATGCGATCGATGAGGTTTCTCTCTTTGACTTTGTCTCTGGCGCTGTCCCTGCCCCTCCTGCTGATGCTGACCCCACTGCTCGCTCCAAGTGGGCCACATGCGATGCTGCTGCACGTCTTGCTGTGCGTCGCCACCTCCCTTCCTCAGAGCGTGCACACTTTAGTCAGTGCAAGACCGCTCAGGCCTTGTACGACGCTGTAGTTGCGCGCTACTCCTCCCCTTCCACTGCTACACTGAGCCGCCTCATGCTACCGTACCTCTTCCCTGACCTTGCTGCCTTTCCCACAGTCACTGGCCTCTTTACCCACCTTCGCGCTAGTGACACTCGCTACCGAGCTGCGCTTCCTGCTGCCTTCCTCGCCGAAAACCCCCCTCCCATGTACATCACCCTCTACTTTCTAGTCACCCGTCTCCCTGAGTCCCTTCGTGCTGTTAGGGACCAGTTTCTCTCTGTCTGTCCCACCACCCTCACTGTCGACCTCCTTGAGAAGTCCCTGCTAGCGGCCGAGAAGAGCATAGTCGCTGTAGGGGCCTCTCGTGGTGACCCGCGCACCCCCATCTTTGAGGGGTGTTCTCCTTCCCCCCTGCTACCCTCTGTCGCCTCTGCTGCTGCGGCCAACCTCGTTGGTTTAGAGTCGGTCGGTGCGGCGTCTGCCCCCAGCGGTAGGCGCCGCTCTGGCAGGAGCAAGGGGGGCAAGGGAGCGGGTGGAGCTAGCGGGGGCGGTGGCGGAGGAGGTGGAGGCGGCGGGGGGAGTGGGGGTGGCGGTGGGGGTGGAGGCGGGGGTGGTGGTCCTGGTGGCGGCGGTGGAGGCTGAGGTGGCGGCGGAGGTGGTGGCGGAGGAGGCAGTGGGAGCGGCGGGGGCGAGGGTGGCGGTGGCGGCGGTGGCGGCGGAGGCGGGGGTGGCGGTGGTGGAGGTGGTCGGAGTGGCTCGTCCCAGAGGAGCGGCACGGGGGGTGGTCAGCGCCAGCAGCAGCAGCAGCAGCAGCAGCAGCGCTCTCGCGACGTCCCCGCCCCTCAGCAGCTTCGTGAGTGGTACTCGCAGCGTCAGCGTGGTGGGGCGTTCGGTCCCTGCGCCTACGTCCTTCGCACCGGCGACCGCGCGGGTGAGCAGTGTGGGGGCACCCACACCGCTCGCCGCTGCTTTGCCCGCCTGAATGACGCTTGGCGCCAGCAGTTTCCGGAGGCCTCTGAGATCCCCCGCTGGGGAGAGCTGTCTAGGGCTGGTGTAGCTGTGTTTGATCTTGACTTTGATGCTATCCTTGCTGCCATGTATGCTGTGACTGTTAGTGATGATGGTGAGTGTTACCGGTGCTTTCCGCCCGACCCGGGCATTGGTACTGCTGTGTCAGGTGCCAGTGAGGCTGCTGCTCTAGGTGCCAGTGCGTCTGTGCTCTCAGGTGCTAGTGAGTCTGCCCTCTCAGGTACTGTGTCGGCTTCTGCCTCCCACACCTTCACCCTTGACTCTGGGGCGTCTCGCTCCTTCTTTTGGGACCGCATCACTCTCACGCCGCTTAGTCGGCCGGTTGCGGTGTCCCTGGCTGACCCCTCTGGGGGTCCTGTCCTGTCTCGTTTCTCCACAGTCCTCCCGTGTTCGGCGGCTCCCTCTGGCACCCTGACTGGTCTTTACCTCCCCTCGTTCTCTACGAACCTGGTGAGTGGTGCTGACCTACAGGATGTGGGGGTCCACCAGTTCACTCCTGCTCGTCAGCGGGTGACACACTGCACAGAGGCTAGCACAGGTCGCCACCTGGCTACATTTAGACGTCAGCCAGGGTCGAGCCTGTACACACTGACCACTGCTTCTCCTCCCGGTGCTGAGTCTGGTCGAGTCCCTTCTACTGGTCAGGTGTTTGCTGCAGCGTCCAGGTCTGGTCCTGAGTCTGCCCCCTGTTCGTGTCGCCGTCTGTCTCACGAGACTCTCCTCTGGCACCACCGCCTTGGCCACCCCTCTCTGCTTCGGCTCAGAGGCATGGCCTCCCGTCTTCTTGTGTCTGGTCTCCCCCGGTCCCTCCCTCCCCTTCCTCAGGGCCCTGGCCCTGCCTGTGTCCCCTGTGTCGAGGGGCGCCAGCGTGCTGCCCCTCACTCCTCCCAGTTTCCTCCGACAGAGGCTCCGTTGCAGACACTTCACATGGACGTGTGGGGCCCTGCCCGCGTCCGTGGACTCGGTCACGAGCGCTACTTCCTGTTGGTGGTTGACGACTACTCGCGTTACACCACAGTCTTCCCCTTGCGCAGCAAGGGTGATGTCACTGAGGTGCTGATCGACTGGATCCGCGCAGCTCGTCTCCAGCTCAGGCAGAGCTTTGGCTCGGACTTTCCTGTGTTGCGTCTGCACTCGGACAGAGGCGGAGAGTTCTCCTCTGGCCTTCTACGTGCCTTCTGTCGTGCGCGAGGCATCCGCCAGACCTTCACGCTTCCGGACTCACCGCAGCAAAATGGGATTGCAGAGCGCCGCATTGGCATGGTCATGGACGTCGCTCGTACGTCTATGATGCATGCGGCTGCCCCCCATTTTCTGTGGCCGTTTGCGGTCAGGTACGCGGCGCATCAGATCAACCTCCACCCCAGGGTCTCCAGGCCGGAGACCTCCCCAGCCCTGCTGTGGACGGGGAAGGTTGGCGATGCGTCGGCGTTCCGGGTCTGGGGATCTCGGGCGTTTGTCCGCGACTTGTCTGCGGACAAGCTGTCCCTTCGCGCTGCTCCCTGCGTCTTCCTGGGGTTCCCCCCCGACGCCCCTGGGTGGCAGTTCTACCACCCCACCACTCGACGTGTTCTGTCCTCCCAGGACGTCACGTTCGACGAGTCGGTACCCTACTACCGCCTCTTCCCCTACCGCACTCCGTCCCTCCCCCCGCCCCTGCTCTTCTTGGTACCAGGTCCCCCCCCGGTAGACCCCCTCCCCCCTCAGGGTCCTGCCCCTTCAGGTGTGTCCCAGGTAGACGCGGTCGAGCCTGTCGAGGTCACTGGTGACTCTGGTGCTGCTGCGGGAGCTGAGCCTGGGGGTGCTGGGACTGGAGGTGCTGAGCCTAGGGGTGCTGAGCCTGGGGGTGCGGAGTCTGGGGGTGCTGAGCCTGGGGGTGCTGAGCCTGGGGGTGCGGAGTCTGGGGGTGCTGAACCTGGAGGTGCTGAGCCTGGGGGTGCTGAGCCTGGGGGTGCTGAGCCTGGGGGTACTGAGCCTGGGGGTGCTCAGCCTGGGGGTGCTGAGCCTGGGGGTGCTGAGACTGGGGGTGCTCCGCCTGGAGGTGTTTTGCCTGAGGGTGCTGAGCCTGGAGGTTCTCCGCCTGGAGGTGCTTCGTCTCGTCGAGAGCCACTCTCCCCACAGGAGCTGCGTGAGTGGTTTGCCCGGCGCTGGAGGCGTGCTGGTGGTGCTGGAGGTTCTTCGGCTGCAGAGGGTGCTGCTGCCGCGCGTCCCGGAGGTGCTCGTACTGTGGGTGCTGGAGGTGCTGGGCCTGAGGGTTCTCCTGCAGCTAGTACTGCTGAGGGTGTTGGCGCTGAGACTACTGCTGGCGGTCCGACTGGCAGTGCTCCTGGTGCTGCTGGGGGTGCTGGAGGTGCTGCTGGAGGTGCTGCTGGAGCGGGTACTCCTGCTGGGGGTACTGGTGCTGTCCCTGCTGTTTCTGGCGTCGCCACGCGGCCCCGACCGTTCCGCTCCTGCAGCAGGTTCTTGGTCTGACACCTTCTACTGGTCCTCCTCCTTCTCCCTTAGAGGGTCCACAGCCAGTCCCGTCACAGTCACAGCTACAGCCTGCCTCCCCTTTGCCTGCTCCTTCTCCCTACGCTGGTCCGACTGGAGGTCTTACTGAGCGTCGTGAGCCTGCGTCTCGTCCTGCGTCGCCTGTTCGCACTGCACGCACTAGTGGTCGCGGTTCGCGTCAGCGTCCTCCTCCTGTCCCTGGCACGCACCGGATGTCTCTGCGTCCGTCTACTGCTCCTCTGCGTGCCCCTTTGCCTTCTCCTCCTGCTTCCTCTCTTCCTGCTCTTGCCGACCCGGAGTCGGACTCTCTTCGTGCTGCCAGTCCTACTGTCACGCGTCTCCTTGCTACTGCTGTCACTGACCCTTCCTTCGAGTCTTCTGCTGCGTCTGCCCCTGTCACTGAGCTTGTCGACTTTGCTGCGCGCTGTCGTCTAGACTACGCTGCTAGTCTTGTCGCTGAGTCTGAGTCTGCCTGTCCTCTGTCCGTCGAAGGTGAGTGTGCCCTAGGCACGGACGTCCTTGAGGACAGGCAGGAGGAGTTCCAGTGTCTTGCCGCCGCTTCACCTCATCTCGCGTCTGTACTGCTCGCCCCTGAGGGAGACCCGGATGCACTAGACATCCCGACTCCGCGCTCTTACGCGGAGGCGATAGAGGGTCCCTACTCCTCTCAGTGGCAGGCAGCTATGGATGCAGAGATGGCTTCCTGGAAGTCCACAGGCACCTACGTTGACGCTGTTCCCCCTCCTGGGGCGAACATCGTCAGTGGCATGTGGATTTTCAGGGTGAAGCGGCCGCCGGGTTCTCCGCCTGTCTTCAAGGCGCGTTACGTGGCTCGTGGCTTCAGTCAGCGGCAGGGAGTTGACTACTTTCAGACCTTCTCCCCCACCCCGAAGATGACCACTCTTCGGGTACTGCTACACGTTGCTGCTCACCACGACTATGAGCTGCACTCTCTCGACTTCAGCACAGCTTTCTTGCAGGGCAGCCTGCACGATGAGATCTGGCTGCGTCGCCCACCTGGCTTCACTCGGTCTTTCCCTCCTGGTACCCAGTGGAGTCTCCGGCGTCCAGTCTACGGTCTCCGCCAGGCGCCACGTGAGTGGCACGACACACTGAGGACTACACTTGCGGCACTTGGGTTTGCTCCTTCTACTGCCGACCCGTCGCTGTTTCTGCGCACCGACACCTCTCTGCCGCCGTTCTACATCCTCGTGTACGTCGACGACTTGGTCTTTGCCACAGCGGACACTGCTGGACTCGCCTACGTGAAGTTCGAGCTGCAGAAGAGACACACGTGCACTGACCTGGGTGAACTGCGCAGCTACCTTGGCTTGCAGATCACCCGGGACAGAGCACGCCGCACCATTACCCTGACTCAGTCACACATGGTGCAGCAGGTCCTTCAGCGCTTCGGCTTCACGTACTCCTCGCCTCAGGCCACTCCTCTGCCTACTCGCCACTCGCTCTCAGCTCTGCCTTCGGATGAGTCCGTAGAGTCGAGTGGCCCGTATGCAGAGCTTGTTGGCTGCCTCATGTACCTGATGACCTGCACACGACCTGACCTTGCATACCCTCTCAGCATTCTCGCACGCTATGTTGCTCCTGGGCGACACCGACCAGAGCACATGGCTGCAGCGAAGAGGGTGTTGCGCTACTTGTGCAGTACGTCGGGCATGGGGCTAGTGCTTGGAGGGCGCAGTCCAGTGGTCCTCACTGGGCACGCGGACGCTTCTTGGGCTGACGACCAGGCTACGCAGCGGTCGTCACAGGGTTACACCTTCGGCCTTGGTTCCGGCTCTGTTTCGTGGCGGGCTACTCGCTCGTCTTCTGTTCTCGGCTCCAGTTGTGAGGCTGAGATCTACGCCGGGGCTATGGCTGCTCAGGAGCTTCGCTGGCTCACCTACCTGCTGACCGACCTTGGAGAGCCGCCTCGTTCTCCTCAAGTCCTGTACGTAGACAACAAGGCCATGCTGGCCTTGTGTCGAGAGCAGCGACTGGAGCACAGGACAAAGCACATTGCTCTCCGCTACTTTCTTGCTCGTGAGCTACAGCAGCGTGGACAGTTGCGACTTGCGTACGTGGCCTCTGAGGCCAACACTGCTGATGTCTTCACCAAGGCACTTGCGCCTTGTGATCATCAGCGTTGTTGCACGCAGCTGGGTCTTGTGCCTGTCTTGCCTCACTTACTCACTTCTTGACCTTGCTTGTACCTTCACCTATATATACTCTTGCTCTTGCTTACTTGACTCTTGTATATCTCTATATATGATCTTGCATGTGAACTGGCCTTGTGGCCTTTGAACTTGTGCTCGGAATGTGTGGTGACTTTGTGATCCACCCTGAGCTTTGCTTTGCTTTGCTTGACTGGTCTTGTGACCCCTTGTTCTCCCCCACTTTGCCCATGGGGGTGTGTCAGAACATATAGCTTACCTATTTCTGTAGGCTATAGTGGGGTATCCCATAGGGGGTACAACCCAATCAGGGTTTCCTATTTGTACTCACTTCGTTCATAGTCATTCCATTCTCGTTCTTTATTTCACACTCACTCCCTCCTAGGCCACTGCAGTCATGGCTGCCCCCAGTGTTCTTACTTTTGATGATGAGGGCCGTGCCGTTGACTTTGAGGTCTGGGTTGATGACCTCCAGCTGTTTCTCTAGTGCGATAGGGCAGACGGACTCTCTCTGTTCGATCTCACCTCTGGTGCCTCTCCTGCCCCGCCTGCTACTGCTGACAGCACTGTTCGCTCACAGTGGGCCACACGCGATGCTGCTGCTCGCCTTGCTGTGCGTCGCCACTTACCGACCACTGAGCGTGCACACTTTACCCAGTACAAGAGTGCTCAGACCTTGTACGACGCTGTAGCTGCACGCTACTCTTCCCTTGCCACTGCTGCACTGAGCCGCCTCATGCTACCGTACCTCTTCCCTGACCTTGCTGCCTTCCCCACAGTCGCTGACCTCATTACGCACCTCCGCACTAGTGACACTCGCTACCGCGCTGCGCTTCCTGCTGAGTTCTGCGCCAAGAACCCCCCCCCCATGTACATCACCCTCGACTACATAGTCACCCGGCTCCCTGACTCTCTCCGTGTAGTGAGGGACCACTTCCTCTCAGTTTGCCCCACCACTCTCACCGTTTAGGAGAGAAGAGCCTCCTAGCAGCAGAGAAGAGCATAGTCGCTGTAGGAGCCTCTCTCGTGACCCTCGCACCCCCATCTTTGAGGGGTGTTCCCCCTACCCCCTCTTGCCCTCTGTTGCCTCTGCTGCTGCGGCCGACCTCGTTGGTTTCGAGTCGGTCGGCGCTGCGTCTGCCCCGAGCGGGAGACGCCGCACTGGCAAGGGCAAGGGAGGCAAGGGCGCTGGAGGGGCTGGCGGGGGCGGTGGAGGTGGTGGTGGAGGCAGTGGAGGGGGTGGGGGTGGTGGTGGGAGTGGTGGCGGGGGTGGAGGTGTCGGTGGCAGCAGTGGAGGCGGAGGAGGCGGCGGCGGTGGCGGAGGGAGTGGAGGCGGCCGAGGTGGTGGAGGCGGCGGAGGCGGCGGAGGTGGCGGAGGCGGCGGCGGCAGCAGTGGACCTGGTCGCAGCTCTGCGCAGAGGAGTGGCTCCGGTGGTGGTACGCGCCAGCAGCAGCAGCGCAGTCGTGAGACTCTCTCCCCTCAGCAGCTTCGTGAGTGGTACGCTGCGCGTCAGCGCGGTGGGGGTACGGGTCCCTGCACCTACGTTCTCCGCACCGGCGACCGCGCTGGTGAGCAGTGCGGGGGCCCGCACTCCACCCAGCGCTGCTTCGGCCGCCTGACGGACGCGTGGCGTCACCAGTTCCCTGAGGCCTCTGAGATCCCTCACTGGGGAGAGCTGTCTAGGGCGGGGGTTGCTATCTTTGATCTTGATTTTGATGCTATTCTTGTTGCCATGTATGCTGTTGCTGATAGTGTTGAGGGTGACTGTTACCTGTGTGTTCCGCCTGACCCGGGCATTGAGCCTGCTGCTCTAGGTGCTGGTGAGGCTGTTGCTCTAGGTGCTAGCGCGTCTGCTGCCCCAGGTGCTGGTGAGTCTGCCCTCTCAGGTACCACGTCGGCTCAGGCCTTACACACCTTCACCTTTGACTCGGGTGCTTCCCGCTCCTTCTTTCGAGACCGCACCACACTTACGCTGCTTAGTCGGGCGGTTGCGGTCTCCCTGGCGGACCCCTCTGGGGGTCCTGTCCTTGCTCGCTTCTCCAATGACTTACCGTGTCCGGCAGCCCCCTCTGGCACCCTGTCAGGTCTCTACCTCCCCTCGTTCTCTACGAACTTGGTGAGTGGAGCTGATCTACAGGATAGGGGGGTTGACCAGTTCACTCCTGCGAGACAGCGGGTGACCCACTGCACGTGTGCTCGGACAGGTCGACACTTGGCCAAGTTCACCCGTCGGCCGGGGTCGAGCCTGTACACCCTCACTACTGAGTCTCCTCCGGCTGACAAGCCTGGTCAGGTCGCTGCGTCGAGTCAGGTGTTTGCTGCAGAGTCCAGGTCTAGTCCTGAGTCTGCTCCCTACTCGTGTCGTCTCCTGTCTCACCACACTCTCCTTTGACACCACCGCCTTGGTCACCCCTCTCTGCCTCGTCTACGAGGCATGGCCTCCCGTGTCCTTGTCTCTGGTCTCCCCCAGTCTCTCCCTCCCCTACCTCCGGGGCCTACCCCTACCTGCGTCCCCTGCGTCGAGGGGCGACAGCGCGCCGCCCCTCACTCCTCCGAGTTTCCTCCGGCAGAGGCTCCGTTGCAGACTCTTCACATGGACGTGTGGGGCCCCGCCCGCGCGCGTGGCCAGGGGCACGAGCGTTACTTCCTGTTGGTGGCTGACGACTACTCGCGTTACACCACGGTCTTCCCCTTGCGCAGCAAGGGTGAAGTCACAGAGGTGTTGATTGATTGGATCTGCGCAGCTAGTCTCCAGCTCAGAAAGAGTTTCGGCTCGGACTTTCCTGTTCTGCGTCTGCACTCTGACAGAGGCGGGGAGTTTTCCTCTGCTCGTCTGGGAGCCTTCTGTCGAGCACAGGGCATCCGCCAGACCTTCACGCTTCCGGCCTCTCCACAGCAAAATGGGATTGCTGAGCGCCGCATTGGTATGGTCATGGACGTCGCTCGTACGTCCATGATCCATGCGGCTGCCCCCCATTTTCTGTGGCCGTTTGCAGTTCAGTACGCGGCGCATCAGCTCAACCTTCAGCCCCGGGTCTCCTTGCCAGAGACCTCCCCCACCTTGCGGTGGACGGGGAAGGTTGGCGATGCGTCTGCGTTTCGGGTCTGGGGATCTCGGGCGTTTGTCCGCGACTTGTCTGCGGACAAGCTGTCTCCCCGTGCTATTCCCTGCGTCTTCCTTGGCTTCCCCCCTGATGCGCCTGGTTGGCAGTTTTACCACCCCACCTCGCGCCGTGTTCGGTCCTCCCAGGACGTCACCTTTGACAAGTCGGTGCCTTACTACCGTCTCTTCCCCTACCGCGCTGCGCCCCTTCCCCCGCCGCCGCTCTTCCTTGTGCCAGGTCCTCCCCCGGTAGACCCCCTCCCCCCTCAGGGTCCTGCCCCGTCAGGTGTGTCCCAGGTAGACGCAGTCGAGCCTGTCGAGGTAGCTGTTGACTCTGGTGCTGCTAGAGGTGCTGAGCCTGCGGGTGCCGGGTCTGGAGGTGCTGAGCCTGCGGGTGCTGAGTGTGGGGGTGCTGAGCCTGGGGGTGCTGAGCCTGGGGGTGCTGAGCCTGGGGGTGCTGAGTCTGGAGGTGCGGAGCCTTTGGGTGCGGAGCCTGGGGGTGCGGAGCCTGGGGGCGCTGGGTCTGCTCGTGTGACCGCCGGCGGTGCCTCGTCGAGGTGGGAGCCACTCTCTCCGCAGGAGCTGCGCGAGTGGTTTGCCCGGCGCTGGAGCCGTGCTGCTGGACCTGGAGGCACTACTGTTGCTGCTGGTTCCGGAGGTGCTCGTACTGGCGGTGCTGGAGTTGCTGGGCCTGGGGGTGCTGCTGGGGCTGCTGGCGGTACTGGAGCTGCCGGTCCTGCTGGAGTTGGTGCTGTTGGAGCTGTTGGAGCTGGAGCTGCTGGGGGTGTTGGCGCTGGTAGTTCTGCTGGCGCTGGTGCGTCTGAGGGTGCTGGAGTTGACGCTGTTGGAGCTGGAGGTGCTGCTGGCGCTGGTGCTGCCGCTGGTGGTACTGGTGCTGTCCCTGCTGGTTCTGGAGGCGCTGCGCAGCCGTGGCCGTACTTCGTTCCGCTCCTTGAACATGTTCTTGGTCTCCCGCCTTCTACTGGTCCTGCTCCTCCCTTAGAGTGTCCACAGCCTGTCCAGTCGCAGTCACAGTTACAGCCCGCCTCCCCTCTACCTGTTCCTTCTCCCTACAGTGGTCCCACAGGAGGTCTTGCTGAGCGTCGTGAGCATGCGTCTCGTCCTGCGTCGCCTGTTCGTGCTGCTCGCACTGGTGGTCGTACTGCGCGTCCGCGTCCTCCTGCGGTCCCAGGCAGAAACCAGATGGCACTGCGTCCTTCCACTGCTCCTCTGCGTGTCCCGTTGCCGTCTCCTCCAGATTCCTCTCTTCCTGTTCTCCCTGACTCGGCCTCTGACTCTCTTCGTGCTGCCAGTCCTACTGTCACGCGTCTCCTGGCCACTGTTGTCACTGACCCTTCCTTTGAGTCCACTACTGCGTCTCACTTAGTGGCTGAGCTTGTCGACTTCGCTGCTCGTTGTCGTCTAGACTACGCCACTAGTCTTGTTGCTGAGTCCGAGTATGTCTGTCCTCCGTCCGTCGGGGGTGGGTGTGCTCTTAGCACGGACGTCCTTGAGGACAGGCAGGAGGAGTTCCAGTGTTTTGCTGCTGCTTTGCCTCATCTCGTGTCCCTGCTGATTGCCCCTGAGGGAGACCCGGATGCACCAGACATCCCGACTCCTCGATCGTACGCTGAGGCGATCGAGGGTCCCTACTCCTCTCAGTGGCAGTCAGCCATGGACGCAGAGATGGCTTCCTGGAAGTCCACAGGCACCTACGTCGACGAGGTTCCCCCACCTGGGGCGAACATCGTCAGTGGCATGTGGATTTTCAGGGTGAAGCGGCCGCCAGGTTCTCCGCCTGTCTTCAAGGCGCGTTACGTGGCTCGAGGCTTCAGTCAGCGGCAGGGAGTTGACTACTTTCAGACCTTCTCTCCCACCCCGAAGATGACCACTCTTCGGGTGCTGCTGCACATAGCCGCTCAGCGCGACTACGAGCTTCACTCTCTTGACTTCAGCACAGCTTTCCTGCAGGGCAGCCTGCACGAGGAGATCTGGCTGCGCCACCCACCTGGCTTCACTGGGTCGTTTCCTCCTGGTACCCAGTGGAGCCTCCAGCGGCCAGTCTACGGTCTCCGCCAGGCGCCCCGTGAGTGGATCGACACACTGAGGACCATACTTGCGGCTTTTGGGTTTGCTCCTTCTACAGCCAACCCGTCGCTGTTTCTGCGCACCGACACCTCTTTGCCGTCGTTCTACATCCTCGTGTACGTCGACGACTTGGTCTTTGTCACTGCTGACACTGCTGGACTCGCCCACGTGAAGTCCGAGCTGCAGAAGAGACACACGTGCACTGACCTGGGTGAACTGCGCAGCTACCTTGGCTTGCAGATCACCCGGGACAGAGCACGCCGCACCATTACCCTGACTCAGTCACACATGGTGCAGCATGTCCTTCAGCGCTTCGGCTTCACGTACTCCTCGCCTCAGGCCACTCCTCTGTCTACTCGCCACTCGCTCTAAGCTCTGCCTTCGGATGAGTCCGTAGAGCCGAGTGGCCCGTACCCAGAGCTTGTTGGCTGCCTCATGTACCTGATGACCTGCACACGACCTGACCTTGCATACCCTCTTAGCATCTTGTCACGCTATGTTGCTCCTGGCAGACACCGACTACAGCACATGGCTGCAGCGAAGAGGGTGTTGCGCTACGTGTGCAGTACGTCGGGCATGGGGCTAGTGCTTGGAGGGCGACGTCGAGTGGTCCTCACAGATCACGCTGACGCTTCTTGGGCTGACGACCAGCCGACACAGCGGTCGTCACAGGGTTACACCTTCAGCCTTGGCTCCGGCTCTGTTTCGTGGCGGTCTACCCGCTCGTCTTCTGTTCTCACCTCCAGCTGTGAGGCTGAGATCTACGCGGGGGCCATGGCTGCACAGGAGCTACGCTGGCTCACCTACCTGCTGACTGACCTAGGAGAGCCGCCTCGTTCTCCTGCAGTTCTGTACGTAGACAACAAGGCCATGCTGGCCTTGTGTCGGGAGCACAGACTGGAGCATAGAACGAAGCACATTGCTCTTCGCTACTTCCTGGCTCGTGTGCTGCAGCAACGTGGTCAGCTCCGCCTCACCTACGTGGCCTCTGAGTCCAACACTGCTGATATCTTCACCAAGGACCTTCCGCCTTGTGATCATCAGCGCTTCTGTGCTATGCTAGGTCTTGTGCCTACTTGGCCTCACTTGCTCACTTCGTGATCTTGTTTGTACTGTACTCTTTCTATACCTGCACTTGCTTGTTTACCTTTATATATATGATCTTGCATGTGAACTGGCCTTGTGGCCTTGCTCTTGTGCTCGGACTGTGTGGTGACGTTGTGATCCACCCTGAGCTTGCTTTGCTTTGCTTGACTGGTTTTGTGACCCCTTGTTCTCCCCCACTTTGCCTATGGGGGTGTGTCAGGCATATATGCTATAGTCTGTGTAGGCTGTAGTGGGGCAGTTCATATGGGGTACAACACTTTAGGGTTTACCACTTGTTCTCCTCATTCTGCTAAATGCATTCATTCCTCGTTTCTTATCAGAAAGTACTGTTGGTTTTGGAACAGTACCCACCAAAAGCAAACCCCGACGAAAACGAACAGGCTTGGCGAGAGGGTAGGCGAAAGTTTGGGAGGCCGTTAGTTGCGAACACGAGGAACTCTCCCATCACCCACCACCTGGGGTGACACTCATAACTGAAGGATAAGCGATTAATTTCTAGGAAATGCCTTCCCACAGGCAATATAAAAGGCGACTAAGGGGACCGAGGAGTAGCGGTACTACTAAGAAACTCGCTGTTGGTAAAGGAACACGTGTCACAAGGCTGGCTCGCGAGATGATTGAATAAGCATTTCTACAAACACCTTCCTCTCTCATGAATAGACTCGTTCTAAGGCCTCGCGCGCGATGTAGTAATAGCCTTCGAAGAGGCGCGCCGCATTCCATGCGTGCTCCTCGCTGGCCATATTCTTGCGAAACCTGCAGCTCGCGATACCCTCTTAGCGCGTCACCCGCGACTTGCCTAATGCCCCGCTGCGCGCCCCACCGCTAAGCGCCTCACAAAAAAGCGCGCGATCGCCAAGCGCCACACTGCATAGCGCCTCACCGTTCACGCACTGCGATTCCTCTCAAGTTTTATGCAGGCGAGTGCTTCTCGTGTAACCCATAGCGCGCCTCTCTTAGCACGTCACCGGCTTCACGCTCACCCTCTGCTGGCCTTACTTGCTGCTCTGTCCCCCTCGTTCCCCCCTCTCCTTCCCCTTGTTTCCCCCTCTGCTCCCCCTCGTTCCCCCCTCTCCTTCCCCTTGTTTCCCCCTCTGCTCCCCCTCGTTCCGCCCTCTCCTTCCCCCCTCTGCTCCCCCTCGTTCCCCCCTCTCCTTCCCCTTATTTCTCCCTCTGCTTCCCCTTGTTCCCCCCTCTCCTTCCCATCATTTTCCCTTCTGATCCCCTCTGTTCCCCCAACTCCTACCCCTTGTTTCCCCCTCGGCTCCCCCTCGTTCCCCCCTCTCCATCCCATCATTCCCCCCTCTGCTTCCCCTCGTTCCCCCTCTCCATCCCCTGATTTCCCTCCCCTTTCCCCCACTGCTCCCTGTCATCACCTCCCCTGCTCCCTCTCATTACCTCCCCTGCTCCCTCTCATCACCTCCCCTGCTCCCTCTCATTACCTCCCCTGCTCCCTCTCATTACCTCCCCTACTCCCTCTCATCACCTCCCCTGCTCCCTCTCATCACCTCCCCTGCTCCCTCTCATTACCTCCCCTGCTCCCTCTCATCACCTCCCCTGCTCCCTCTCATTACCTCCCCTGCTCCCTCTTATTACCTCCCCTGCTCCCTCTCATCACCTCCCCTGCTCCCTCTTATTACATCCCCTGCTCCCTCTCATCACCTCCCCTGCTCCCTCTCATTACTTCCCCTGCTCCCTCTCATTACCTCCCCTGCTCCCTCTCATCACCTCCCCTGCTCCCTCTCATTACCTCCCCTGCTCTCTCTCATCACCTCCCCTGCTCCCTCTCATTACCTCCCCTGCTCCCTCTCATCACCTCCCCTGCTCCCTCTCATCACCTCCCCTGCTCCCTCTCATCACCTCCCCTGCTCCCTCTCATCACCTCCCCTGCTCCCTCTCATCACCTCCCGTGCTCCCTCTCATTGCCTCTCTTCTCATCTTTTCGCCCTCTGCTTCCCCTCGTTTCTCCCTCTCTTTCCCTTCATTAGCATCCCTGCTTCTCCTTTGCATGCTTTCTCTTCGATTGCGTCTTGCCCACAGTTCTCCCCTAACCCTCCTTCCCCCGTTGTTTCCTATGTTATCACCCTCCTTTCTCTGAGTTTTTCACCCCTTACGCTTTGTCTCCCGACCTGCTTGCCCTTGTTCGTCTCCACCCCCTTACCCCCCCCCAACACGCTCTTCCTGCACGCTTGTACTCTGTCCTCCGGATTTCCATATCATCTTTACTCGATATCTGCTCTGTGCAGCATGGAGCACAATAAAGTAGTAATCTCAGTCTACAATGTGTATTCCTTCAATGTATCTAGCCATAGCATGGTATTACAAATAATTTACATTCTGAATAATGGTAGTGGAATCCAATGGTTGTCATGTGACCTCTGTTCTTTCAAATGGGCACATCACATCATTGATGTAGAGAAGAGAAGCTTGAGAGGAGTATGTACACATGATAAAATCATCGCAAGACACCATACAAGACAGCACCTTCCACTACTCTTTGTGTCGCCTTCATTCCCTCCAAATTCTTGGACCTGCTGCTCCTCCCTTCATGCCGCCAAAATTGCCCGGGCCTGGCTTTGCCCTGTGTGTAGCAGGATTGCATGCAAAACCTGCAGCTTTGCGTATGCATACTCGCTGTACGGCACGTGGTGTCGCAACGGTATATAGTGGGGCCCCAAACCTATGGGAGGGAAGGCAGGGATGTGAGGAAAAAAGGCAGGGATGTGAGTAGGGAAGGCAGGGATGTGAGATGGGAAGGCAGGGATGTGAGATGCGAAGGCAGGGATGTGGAAAAAAACGAAGGAATGGAAGTATGTGAGGGGTAAGAATTGCAGGAAGGGTAGGGCAGAAAGGGAAGGGCAGGGAGGGAAGGAGATAGGAAGGGAGGGAGGGGAGATGGGACGTAAGAATGGGAAGTAAGAAAGATGAGCGTGGCTTTTCATGGCACCTGGGTGGGAAGGGTGGGGTTGGGGACGGCAAGGCAAGGATGGGGCTCTGCATGTTGGAGACGAGCACGAGGGAGCACATGGACAGCAGCCTCATTGCACTTCAAATTCTCCTCCCTACCTTCCTCTTTGCTTGGCCCTTGCCTGTCCCCTTCCCACCCCCCCTCCCCACTTCTCCCGTCCCCCGCCCACTACCTCCACCCCTCACCTTGCGCCATGTCGATCGAGAGAAAGCATCAGCCACCTGTAGGCAGAGCACTCTCACGGCCTTCACCGCCAGGGAAAATGGCATGGCGGGAAGGGAATATGGCATGACGAGCATGGTGTGGAGAGAAGAGCTGTGTTGTAAAGGGTAGAGAATATCAGGCAGAACAACTAAAGAACCGGAGCCCGCGGGTTCACTGGCGGCTGAGAAGCAAAAGAAGAAAGGGGTGAGTGAGCTGGCGGGGAAGGGAGAGGAATAAGAGGGGACGGGGGAGGTGCGGATGGGAAGGAGGATTTGAGGGGGAAAAGAGGATCAGAGAGGGTAAGGGGAGTAGGGGGGGAAAACTGAGAGCGGGGGGGGGGAAACGGGAGCAGAGGGGGAAAAGAGGAGCAGTGGGTGGAAAGAGGTGCAGTAAGGAAAAGGATGAGCAGAGGGGGGAAAGATGAGCCGAGGGGGACAAGAGGAGCAGACGGGAAAAAGAGGAGCAGAGAGGGAAAGAGGAGCAGAGGGGGAAAGTGGAGTAGGGGGGGGAAAGAGGAGCACAGGGGGGAAAGAGGAGCAGTGAGGGAAAAGAGGAGAAGAGGGGGAGAAGAGAAGCAGAGGGGAAAAAAGAGCGGAGGTGGGAAAGTTGAGAAGATGGGGAAAGAGGAGCAGAGGGGGAAAATAGGGGAAGCAGGCGGGGAAATGGTGGGAAGCAGGAGAGGAGGAGTGGCAAGAGGACGAGAAGGCACGGCGGGAGGGGGAGGAGGCATGGTGGGATGAGGAGAAGGCATGGTGGGAGGAGGAGAAGGCGTGGTGAGAGGAGGAGAAGGCATGGTGAGAGGAGGAGAAGGCATGGCGAGAGGAGAAGGCATGGCGAGAGGAGGAGAAGGCATGGCGTGAGGACGATAGGGCACGGCGGGAGGGGGAGAAGGCATAGTGGGAGGAGGAGAGGGGGTGGCGGGAGGAGGAGAAGGCATGGTGAGAGGAGGAGAAGGCGTGGTGAGAGGAGGAGAAGGCGTGGTGAGAGGAGAAGGCGTGGTGAGAGGAGGAGAAGGCGTGGTGAGAGGAGGAGAAGGCGTGGTGAGAGGAGGAGAAGGCGTGGTGAGAGGAGGAGAAGGCGTGGTGAGAGGAGGAGAAGGCGTGGTGAGAGGAGGAGAAGGCGTGGTGAGAGGAGGAGAAGAGCCTTATTCGAGTGCAGCTCGCTTTGGGAGGCCGCCGCGAGACGCGGAGAGGCAGCGAGGGGAGGCAGGGTGAAGCCGACGACGCAGGCTAGATGCGCATGTGCGGGAAGGCGAGAGGAGGACACGTGTGGAGGTGGGACGCGCGGGGAGGCGAGAGGAGAGCGCGGGGAGGCGAAAATCGCGCGCGCGGGGAGGCGAGAGGAGCAGGTGCGGGGAGGCGAGAAGAGCAGGCGCGGGGAGGCGAAAAAGAGCAGGCGCGGGGAGGCGAGAGGAGAACGCGCGGCAAGGCGAGAAGAGGCCGCGCTTGGAGGCGAGAGTCGAGCGCGCGGGGAGGCGTGAGGAGGCCGGGCGGGGAAAGCGAGAGGAGAGCGAGGGGATGCGAGAGGAGCACGCGCGGGGAGGCGAAAGAAGAATTTGAACCGGGAGGCAATAGGAGCAGGAATGGGTAAGGCGAGAGGTTGCGGAAAAGGGGATTTCGGGCGGAAATGAGGTTGCGGAAAGGGAAATTCAGTGCTCTGGAATGAGGGCGTGCATGGGAGGAAACAAGGGCGTGCCCGGAAGGGGAGAAGGCGTGGCGGGAAGGGGAGATGGCGTGGCGGGAAGGGGGGATGACGTACCCAATCGCGCGCGGCGAACGGCAGACGGCGAGCTAGGAGTGGAGGAAGGGATGGGATGCAGATGCTAGCGCGTCGAGGCTAAACGGGACTTTGTGGGGAGGGGAGGCGCTGTCGCCAATGGCCTCGCGGTGAGGCAGCGAGAGGAGGCGTGGGGCGGTCTTGTCTAAGGTGGTGTGGCCTAAGCGAGTGCGTAGGCGTGGCGATTTGTCCGCGCATGCGCGCAAACAGCGTTACGCGGTTCAGTAACAGATTCTGTCCCTAAATCTAGCTGTTAGGTTACAATGTTGCCTAGTCTACACGGAATAACCTACCGAAGTAGGAGCGTGTGGGCTATCCTCTCACTACGGTACCGCAGTTTCAGTTTCCTTTTGCAATTCCTAAGTTTTGAACTGTGAGTGCGGGGAGCCGGACGTGGGGCGTTTGGGGACTCCTTCGCCTCTCAACAGGGGGGGTTGGGTTTGTAAACGCGTAACCAGTTTTTCAAGTTCCTAAGGTTTTAAAACCCCCGCTTGCAAAAGTATACTGTTGCTTTAAAGAAGTTGATGGATTTACAAGGTAAGTGCAATAAAGAAATCAGCAGCACCCCCCGAGCTTAGCAAACACACCTCTAACCACAATACAGGACGTAAGCACCACGTCACACCCACAGTCAAAGGCCTTACACCCAGCATGCAAACAGAAACACAATAACCATACAATGGTGCTGCACCTTCTCGCTCATTATCCTGCAAGGAGTATTCGTCAGCCAGCATATCGCTACACTGCATCACCTTTAGACCTCTGCAGCCCATCTCATGCAACAGCTGGCTTGGTGCAAGTCATGCCATCAGCAGAAACCACGAAGCCCTCCTTGCACCGGCATGCCGCCTTACCACTAGCTGCATCCCAGAAACAGACACCCCCGCCTCCGCACTGAGGAGAACCTGCGCCTGTCCCACAGAACGCAGTGCATTGCGCAGCAGCCCTCTGCGACTTGGCTGTGCAGGTCGCAGTGGACACCAAGCAATTTCCCTGAACAGAAATGTCATTCGGAAAGTCTTTGCCTGGGCAGATTACGGCGGTCTTGGGCGTGCCTGTCCAATTGGCCGCCTGGATGGTCATCTCATCTTTTCCGAAAAAGTAGTTGTTGCTCAAATCAATGATGCTTGAGAACCTGTAACAGGAAACAGCGTCGGAGCCCTTGGGGCCGCATCCCCTCCCGAGGTTTGGGAACTTGGGCAAAACGCCAGTAAAGTAGTTGTTCGCCACTTTGAAGGCCCGCAGCGATTGGCCGAGATTGGCCAGCGATGCGGGGAGGTAACCGCTCAGCTTGTTGTTGCTAACATCGAAATTCATGAGAGTTGCAGAGAGTCCGAAGGTTGCCGGCAGGTAACCGGTCAGCAGGTTGTTGCCGACGTCGAACACTTCGAGCCCGTCCATCCGGCCAAACGCGGACGGAATTGGGCCGGTCAGCTGGTTGTCCGACAAATCGATGACCGAAAGAAGCGGGCAGCCCGACAAACCAGTAGGCATCTGCCCGGTGAACTTGTTGCCGCTAGCTGTGAAAGTTTGGAGATTCGGCGAGTTCTGGAAGAGGGTGTTGGGAATGCCACCAGTGAAAGCGTTGCCGTCGATTTCGAACATTTGCAGCGGGGAATTCGCCTGCCCGAATATTTGTCTCCACGGAAACAGCCCCGAGAGCTTGTTATCGGCTACGTAAAACTCCTTGAGGTACGGCATCTTGGAAAAAACACCGCGGGGAATCTCGCCGGTCAGCTTATTTTGGCGGAGATCTAGAGACGTGAGGGCCGTCAGTGCAGCGAATGCCGCGGGCAGCGGGCCTTCGACGCCCGCGGAGACCAGCCGCATGCTGACGACATTCCCAGAGTCGTCAATATCGAGGCCCTCCCACGCGGATGTGTCCGTACTGCCCTCCTTCCACGTGGAAGCTGCGTAGAAGCCGCTCTTCCAGGCGGCTTTAATATCCAACAATGCCTTGAGCTGCGCGGAAGCGGGAGCGGTCGGCCCGGAGACGAAATCGTCGAATCCGATGTAGTCTTCGTCAGGGTTGCTGGAGGAAGCTTCGTCGCCGAACGCGGAGGAGAAGAGGCGGCGCCGCGAGCCAGCCGCTGGGTCACGCATGTGGCGCAGGCCGCGGCGGGCGTGCATGCGGTGCAAGTGGGGGCGGTCGTACGTGCGGGCGAGGGCGGAGGTCGCGAGGGTGAGGCACAGGAGGATGGCGAGGAGGGAACGCGCCATGGTTCCGATGCGAACTGCCTGCGTGCTTCCGGGGTTCAAGCGGGATTCGCGTAGGAGATGCGAAACTACTAGTAAGGAATGGTTGAGAAGCTCGGCTAACCTACGCGGTGTCACTTGGAACAAAGAACGAACATCGACTGTTTAGGGAAGCGCCCTAAGCGGTCCTAACTGGATGGAGCAAATAGACGCATATACTTACGTCACGAGAAATACGGCAATCTATATGGGTAGATTATCGTTCAGTTACCACAGTCTGGCGAAACCGTGGTTCTCGGTCAAAACTGCGAGGCCCAAGGCATGACGTGGATGCGAAAACAGAAATCTAATGACGAGAATATTTCTGCTGTGGCATGAAGTCTAGCCCAGAGAGAGGATGCCGTGTTGAGGCGATGGTTGTGCCCCGCACAGCCGTCCAGAAACGCTCGAGCAGGGGATGGAATGGAATGGAACTGGCGAGTGCTGCTCCACAACATCAACCCCATCCATCCACCCCAATGCCTCTTTCTCGTCCCCAGCTGGTCGGGGGAGCAGAGCAGGTGTGCTCCGCTATGCTGCGGAAGGGTTCTGCAGGTGTTTGGGGGAAATGCGCCCCCCTTACCCACCAATTCGTCCATCCAGCCATCCTCTTCCCCCCCTTTCGCTCCGCGCGTTTCCCGCGCAAAGAATCTCGTCGTGTCGTCCGGTCGGGCTTTCCTTTTTGCCCTGCGCTCGCACATGGTCGCAAGCCTGGTCAGGTTGGTGCCACCGCAGGTTGAGGCGCCCCTTGAGCTGGTGTGCTGACGAAATCTCGTTGGAGTCGTCAACAAATTTCGCGACGTACCCTTCAACCCCGACATCAGAGGAAATCACTTTCACATATAACGTACTACGCCCATTAAAACAAACTATGCACCGCTCTTCAACGTAATAAAACTTACTGGGGGTGCTGCAGTCAAAAGTTTTGGCGACGCTCATTCTGGAGGGACCTGGTTGCGAACCGCATGGCGCTGTTCAGGTGTGTAGGAATCATTGCGACCACGAATTGCGGCGATGGTCAGTTCCGACACTCCTTGCGACAGTAGGGTGTCGGCCGTCGTCCAAGAAGGCGTTAGTTCTAACGGTACCAGCTTTCAGCCATGAGACTTCGTTACAGCACAAACGTTGTGGATGATTTTATGATTTGTAAAGGAGCATGTTTAAATAGAGGTTGATTATGAATGACAGTATTTCATTCAGCTATAATACACCAGAGGGGGATCATGAAAATCTTGGGCGACTTAGGGCGTATTCCTATCCTCCTATCAATCTGACCTCCTATCAAGCTCACACTGAAAAGTCTACGAAACCCAAAACCTCTCTCTACTTTTACCGGGCAAAAGGTACAATCTTGATAGGAGGTGGCTTGATAGGAGGTCGTAGGAATACGCCCTTCGTGACCACAATTCATGAGCATTCCACGCCTAAGGGTACATTCCGCTGTGGACAATTTCAAAGAAAGTGTCCCAATCACCTTTGGCCCGAGTCGCCCTCAAATGTCTCGGGTCTGCATGTCCCAATCGATCGATGTATCGCGACTCTGCACAGACGCGCGACAATTATATGTGAACGATTATGATTGGTCAGACCTGAAGGTGGCCCAGTCTGTCAAACATATGTTTATATCATATTTGTGGGTAGGCTGTAGTGGGGTAGATTATGTGGGGTATAACCCCTTAGGGTTTTCCCTTGTACTCAATTATCTCGATAGTGCAACTCACCCATGCCTAACTTCTAAGATGGTATCTAGAGCATAGGTCTTTAGGACTTAAGTTTAGGGCCCACCGTTCATCACTTTACCTCACCTACGGCTTGCCTGCCTTGCCTGCCGCCCGCGCGCGCCTCGGCTGCAAGCGCGCAGCCATTTTTTTTTTCCCGCGCGCGTCAGTTAAATAGCCCGCGCGCAGCCCGTTTTCGGCCCCGCGCGCCACGTTAGCCGCCCGCGCCGCCTACTGCCGTCACGCGCGCCGCTTAAATCGCCCGCGCCCAGCCGCTTAGGCCCCGCCCGCGCGGCCCGCCGCAGCACGCAGCCCGTAGCCGCGCGCAGCCTGTCGCCAAGCACAGGCAGCAGCCGCGCACAGCCCACAGCCGCACGCAGCTCGTCGCCACGCGCAGCCAGCAACTGCGCGCAGCCCGGAGCCGTGTGCAGCAGCGCGTGCCCTGCCTGCCTTGCGTAGGCGAGCACCACTTAAGCAGCCGCCCCTGGACCCTGAAGCAACCGCCCCCGGACCCAGAGCAGCCGCCCCTGGCCCCTGCAGCAGCCGCCCCTAGTGCAGCCGCCCCTGGACCCGGAGCAGCCGCCCCTGGCCCCTACAGCAGCCGCCCCTGGTGCAGCTGCCCCTGGACCCTCAAGCAGCCGCCTCTGGCTCCTACAGCAGCCGCCCCTGGTGCAGCCGCCCCTGGACCCCGTGACGCCGCCCCTGGACCCTCGAGCAGCTGCCCCTCAACCCAGAGCAGCTGCCCCTGGCCCCTGCAGCAGCCGCCCCTGGTGCAGCCGCCCCTGGACCCAGAGCAGCCGCCCCTGGCTCCTACAGCAGCCGCCCCTGGTGCAGCCGCCCCTGGACCCAGAGCAGCCGCCCCTGGCTCCTACAGCAGCCGATCCTGGTGCAGCCGCCCCTGGACCCTCGAGCAGCTGCCCCTCGACCCAGAGCAGCCGCCCCTGGCCCTTGCAGCAGCCGCCCCTGGTGCAGCCGCCCCTGGACCCAGAGCAGCCGCCCCTGGCTCCTACAGCAGCTGCCCCTGGTGCAGCCGCCCCTGGACCCAGAGCAGCTGCCCCTGGCTCCTACAGCAGCCGCCCCTGGTGCAGCCGCCCCTGGACCCCGTGACGCCGCCCCTGGACCCCGTGCAGCCACCCGCCGACGCCGGCCCTTCCCACCACTAGTGAGCACCTGCCTTATTCGCGCACTACCGCGCCCTCAGCCTGCCTGCCTGCCTGCCTGTCTGCCCGCCTGCCTGCCTGCCTGTCTGCCTGCCTGCCTGCCGGCCTGCCTGCCTGCCGCGCCTGCCCTGCCCACGCTGCTGCTACAACTGCTGTTGCTGCTACTGGCGGTGGCCAGGTGCAGCTCCAGCGACGTCCACGTGAGTCCCTCACGCCCCAGCAGCTTTGTGAGTGGTACGCTGGTTGGGGTTGTAGGGGTGGCCGCGCTACTACTGCTGCTACTGCTGCTACTGCTGATACTGCTGCTACTGCTCTTACTGCTGCTACTCCTACTACTGCTGCTACTGGCGGTGGCCAGATGCAGCTCCAGCGACGTCCGCGCAAGTCTCTCAGCACCACCCTTACGCCGCTCAGTCGGCCGGTTGCAGTCTCCCTGGCAGACCCCTCTGGGGGTCCAGTCCGTGCGACCTCCACCACTGTCCTCCCTTGTCCTGCTGTCCCGTCCGGCACACTATCGGGTCTTTACCTCCCCTCGTTCTCTACGAACTTGGTGGCGGGTTCTGCGCTCCAGGACGCGGGTGTTCACCAGTTCACCCCTGCCTACGAGCGTGTGACGCACTGCACGTGTGCTCACACGGGTCGTCACCTGGCTACCTTCACTCGGCAGCCGGGGTCGGGCCTGTACACAATGACCACTGAGTCCCCTCAGGTAGCTGCGTCTGCGTCTGCGTCAGGTCAGTTGTCGGCCCCCTGCTCATGTCGCGCCTTGTCGCACCAAACCCTCCTTTGGCACCACCGCCTTGGTCACCCCTCGGTGCAGCGCCTTCGCAGCATGCATCGCCGTGTCCTTGTCTCTGGTCTTCCCCGGGTTCTCCCTCCCCTCCCACCCTCGCCTGCTCCTCCCTGTCTTCCCTGTGTCGAGGGGCGGCAGCGCGCCGCTCCTCACTCCTCCTCGTTCCCTCCCACAGAGGCTCCCCTGCAGACTCTCCACTTGGACGTGTGGGGCCCAGCCCGCGTCCATGGACAGGGCCACGAGCGGTACTTCCTGCTGGTCGTCGGCGACTACACGCGTTACACCACGGTCTTCCCCTTGCGCACCAAGGGTGAGGTCCCTGATGTTTTGATCCCTTGGATCCACGCTGCTCGTCTCTAGCTCCGCGATCGGTTCGGGACGGAGTTTCCCGTCCTGCGTCTGCACTCTGACAGAGGTGGGGAGTTTTCCTCCGACCTCTTGGCAGCCTTCTGTGCGGAGCACGGCATCCGCCAGAAGTTCACGCTTTCGGCCTCTCCGCAGCAGAATGGGGTTGCTGAGCGCCGCATTGGCATAGTCATGGAGGTCGCTCGCACCTCCATGATCCATGCGGCTGCCCCCCATTTTCTGTGGCCGTTTGCGGTCCGGTATGCCGCGCATCAGCTCAACCTCTGGCCCCGTGTCTCCTTGCCGGAGACCTCGCCCACGCTGCTGTGGACGGGGAAGGTTGGCAATGCGTCGCGTTTCCGGGTCTGGGGTGCTCGTGCCTTTGTCCGCGATACCACCGCGGACAAGCTCTCCGCCCGCGCTGTTCCCTGTGTCTTCCTTGGCTTTGTCCCTGACGCGCCTGGTTGGCAGTTTTACCACCCCTCCTCGCGCCGTGTCTTCCCCTCTCAGGACGTCACGTTCGACGAGTCGGTTCCCTTTTACCGTCTCTTCCCCTACCGCACTGCTCCTCTCCCCCCCCCGCCGCTCTTCCTCGCTCCAGGTGCTACCCAGGTAGACCCCCTCCCCGCTCCCGGTCCTGCTCCTTCAGGTGTGTCTCAGGTAGACCCTCCTCCCTTGACTGCGCCGGTTGAGGTCACTGGTGACTCAGGTCCTGCTCGGGGTGCTGCTTCTGGGGGTGCTGAGCCTTGGGGTGCTGAGCCTGGGGGTGCTGAGCCTGGGGGTGCGGAGCCTGGAGGTGCGGAGCCTGGGGGTGCGGGGACTGGAGGTGCTGAGCCTGGGCGTGAGGAGTCTGGGGGTGCTGAGCGTGGGGGTACTGAG